TCGTCTCAAGTCTTTTTATTTGGCTTTATTGAGACTTGGGAAATAAAAGGTGCCATACAGAAACAATCCCTAAGCTCTTGACGGCTCTTCTGTGCTCCAGAAGAGCTGCCTGTGATCAGCTGAAGGCCAGATGACAGCCACAGCTGCATTAAAGCCTGCTTCAAGAAGCTGAACCAGTGGCTCCCTTTGTGTTGCTGGACTACAAGTCCCAACATTCTTCAGCAACAGCTAAACTGGCTGTGGCTGCTGGGAGTTGTTGTCCAGCCCCAGGGGGTAGGGATTCTTTAGTAGTGAAAATGCACAACTTCTGTGCCGAGACAACCCTGACTCTCCAAGAGGCACCTTCCAAAACAATGGGTGGGTCACTATAAAAACTAAGTTTGATTTCAGTTCATTTACCCATACAGTAATTTGAATTAAACATAATTGATGTGATTACTCTCCAGTCATGTATTTATTATTTTCTCTTTTTTATCACATTCAAAATGATCGTTTGGTAAGCATTCAAAGAGTTCTTGGTCAAGAAACATTTTTGGAGGATGCATCCAAGGCTTCTGGGGACCCCAGAAGACCGAGGGCCACCACTTGTAAAACTTTTCAGAGGGTGGGGTGGGCCTGTTCCTTTTCCTACACTTGCAAGCCAGCCAGACATCCCCTCTCTGTCCCTTCCTCCATCCTTGTGATCTTTATAAGCCTTCCCACAGATGTTTTTCAAGCGGGGAATTTCCCCATTTTCTGTTTTTGTTCCATTTCCTTGTGGAAATGGCTGCCAAGCTAGAGGTGGTTATCTTTTCCTCTCAGACTTTGCCACACCCAGGTTCTGCAAAGTGCCATGTTTGGTCTCCTAGGAGCTAAAGTCAACTTTCACTTTCAGTTGCTCATCGAGAGTTCCTTAAACACTAAAGCAAAATTACTGAAAGAGCACTGGAAATTTAGCAAGCTGCCCACCCCAGATTCCAACAAGGTAAGAAATGGGTCCAGTTCTCAGAATTGGCATTAAATTGGGTACAGAGGCTTTGTAGGGGAGAATTTCGGCTTGGCTAGAATATTAAAGTACGTAGATTGGATAATGACTTTGAACTGCAGTGCACTGAATTTTATTATGGCTTTTGGCAATCAGATTCAGTAAGCTCTAGAACTGGAGTATCTTTCTTGAAACAGATACATTTAGCTTAACACCATTGGTATGGTTACATCAACAGTGACTGGGTCTTCTTTTAATAGCATTATTAAAAAAAACCACACCTTTGCAACCATTTTCATTATGTTTAAGCTCACGCCTACAAGACAGTTACAATAAATAAATCATTGCTTCTTGGGAACCTCAAAAATAGTGGATTTATAAGAATGAGTTGTCTTTTAAAGATGCCTGGAAGTATTCCAGCAGCCTTCCTGTTGACACCCCATTGGAAGTTTAATTTAAATATATGGGTTTACTCTTCTGAGTAAAGATTTAGCAGCTGAGCTATAAAGCAGCAATCTCCAGAGCTCCAGGGTGGAGATCTAATTCATACGTTCATTTTTATGCCTTAGAAATAGAACCTATATTCTATTAGGTTAAATGTTGAAGTAATGAAGCTCGGAGTTCAGTGCTTGTGACCCTGGAATGGAGGCAGATAACAGAAATCAGACAACTGTCTTTCCTGCAGAGTGTGAATGGAATGGTGTGATATGGATACAACCAACAATGCTGTTTATTGTATATGCTGAAATTCTCTAAAACAGTGTTTCTCAGAGTTGGCAACCTTAAGATGTGTGGACCATGCTGGCTGGGGAGTTCCACACATCTTAAAGTTGCCAACTTTGAGAAACACTGATCTAGATGCATCCCAGACAGGAATTCTATAATGCATGGATGTTCCTTGATTGGAACAGTGCCCAAAATGTTTGGAAAAATTCCCTGTATTTGCTGCTGAAAAACTGTTAGGCTGCCTTTCTATGCCTGGGAATGAACTCCACTAGAGTCAGTGACTGGGTTTGCCCAACTTGCCAAACCCTCCCCCAATATAACCAAATGCAATTGCTGTATTCACATTACATGCAACGCCTCAACAAATAAACCATGTTATGGCTCGAGACTGGCCTAATTTATTCAACCAAGTAAAAAAAAAAATTATATAAAATACCAAACTCCTATCTATTTTAGACTTTGTCTAGTGTGAACCAAGCACATAAAATGTTACTTCAAGTAGACCCATGTAGATTTGTTCAAACTGTTCTTAATTTCCACGGTTCGGGAATGTTTCTATTTCTAAACATTCTATTTATCTAGACATTGTCTAAATATTATCTAAACATTATCTAAACATTCTATTTCTAAACATCCTGATTCTCCAGGTTCATGGTTATGAGCTATCTCTATCCCTCCATCCATCCATCCATCTTCATTCTTTTTTTCCCATTATATCTATCTTCATTCTTCTGCCATAGGAAACTAGCAACTGTTCTGATCTCTGTATCATTTTTTTAAACTCCATTCTTGCTGCAGATTGTTTCAGCCACAATCAGACATTGAAATGGATAATCCGATGCTTCTGATAAAGAATATTGAAGGCAAACTTGAAGTCTGTCCAGAAGCCCTTGAAGTGCTTTCTAAAATCCACCAACCGGTTGTGGTGGTGTCCATTGTGGGAAATGCTAGAACTGGCAAGTCCTATCTCATGAACAAACTAGCTGGCAAAAATGCAGGTGAGAGACACAGATGGACATTGGCTTGCAGGGTGAAGTGAAGGGAAGGAGGATGAAATCTGGCATGGAAGAGATTAACCCCGAAATAGAGTGATTTGTGTTCCAAACAGCTGAATGTGCAGTTTAGTATGTCCACCTCACTACTTCCATAAATCCCCTTTCCATCCAAGAGGAAGGACAATATGATTTAACCTAAATATGGCAAATAAATCACACATATTAAAAATCTTTCTAACATCTTCAGCTCTGTAACATACAATTATCTTCATCTACAGGTTTCATTCTAGGTTCTTCAATAGAATCGAAAACCAAGGGAATCTGGATGTGGTGTGTTCCCTACCAGGGCAGGCCTGACCAAACCCTAATTCTTCTGGATACTGAAGGACTAGGCGATACGAAAAAGGTGACTCTGAGCATGGGGGAGGGGAAAGTGCAATTTCCTTTGCAGTATATCTCTTTCATAATTATTGTAGGAGGGGAACCATGTTAGTCCATGGTAGCTAAGAATCAGGAGGAGTCTTAGAACACCTTTTGCAACTAAGACATTTTATTCAAACACCGAAGCTTTCATGAGCTGAAGCTCACAATGTCTTCTGAGCCCTGCATGGAAGAGGCTTCTACTCTGGAGAATCAGGATGTTTAGAAAGAGCAACATTCCTGAACTCTGGAAATTAAGAACAGTTAGAACAAATCTGCATGGGTCTACTTGAAGTAACATTTTATGTGCTTGGTTCACACTAGACAAAGTCTAAAATAGGTAGGAGTTTGTTATTTTGTATAATTTTTTGGCCCCCATTTCTCATGAACCAAATTATTGCACTGTCTAGATAAGACCTTTGTCCCAATGCTGAGCAGACAGCCAGGCTGAACTAGTGCACTAAACCATGATGTACTTGGTTTGATTTGGGCTACATGTGCAACCAGCCACTATACAAAGTGTCAATCCTTGCCTAGTGTGATGGGTAGGATAAACTCTGCCCTTATAGCTCAGTCAGCAGGCTACGATTAAAGTAAATCTTGGTTTAGTATGTGAAGCTTGCACCACAGCAAGAGAAGTTTCTCTTCAACTAGGAACTCAGCTTATCAGAAGTAAACCTTGAAATCACTTATTTATACCTTGCATAAATAAAGCAGTGGAAAAGAAAACCACATTAAAATGACAAGAAGAGGCTATCTCTAGAAATCATAGCCTGCAAACAAGCAGAAGATGAGGAGGTCAAGTCAAACAACTGAGCTTCCAAATCTTTAAAAAAAACTGCAGGTATTTTGAATTTTCTTTTAAATCACACTTAAATATTTCACTTAAATTCTTCAGTTCAATTGGTTTTAGAAGTCAGAAGCTAAACAGAAATAGAAATACTGGAAATGGCACCAGTTCATGCCAATTTCATCTGAGATACCTCGTGGTGAGTTTCTTGCCTCTTTGGGTGGTTGATTAAAATGTTACTCAGCAGTGGGAAAAAGTAGAATTCCTGCAGCCAGAGAAACGTTTCAAGGAGCCTTGTGCTAAGTAAAGAATGTGATTCGAATTCTGTCCATAAGACATGTAATTTCATCATAAAAATGTCATCTGAAAGCACAGTGTTGGTGCAGAACCAACATTTAGGAGATTCTCTTCTGTTCCTCCCTCTTAAGGGTGATACTAAAAATGACTCCTGGATCTTTGCCTTGGCTGTTCTCCTCAGCAGTACGCTAATCTACAACACTTTGGGCACTATTTCTCAGCATGCCATGGACAACCTTCAGTATCCTTTGGAAACCCTCAGTATGATGCAGGATTCTTTTTATCACACGCACATCCCATTTGAAGGAACCTCTGTAGGTCCTTCCCTGATTAGGTGGCTGTAGAATGTTGCTTGCCATTCGCCTCAGTTATAAGCTTGTATTGAAGGAAATGTAGAGTTCTGTTTTCACATAGGGGATTTCTAATGAAGCCCCAGCAACATCTGGAAGACCACAGATGTGACATGCAGTAACTACTACTTACTGTGAAGCAAACATTCTGATACACTCAATTGGTTCATTTTGTTTTAGGCATTGCAATCCCCAAGTTAGAAGACAAGTTTTAAACATGTCTGCTGTTTTAGAGACCCACTCCTTGGACATTTGGGAGAGGGTTTCTCCCCCTTAGGAGTTGTATTTAATTCTTTTAAGTCTTACTCTTTCTGCTTTGGGGAATGAACCTAAGCTGCTCCTTTTCAATCAAGTCTTTGGGGTTGTGCTACCATTAATTTTCATTAACTAAGACATTGCTTTTAATTATTTACTGGAGATTTTTTTTTTTGCAGTATTAGTTATCTTAAGTGCCCTATTGGTAGAAAGAGAGAAATAATAATAGCAGGCTGGCAGACAGACAGACAGACAGACAGACATATTGTATGTTGAATCATGAGTAGAATTGTAGGGCCACTGCATCTAGTCTTCCCTCTAGTTCATATCACTAAATATGTTTGTGCATGTGGGTGTGCATTCATAGAAGAACCCTGCAGATGAATTCTAGAAAATTTAACCATCTGATCATCTGTCATTAGGACCATCAGTTGTAGAATATTGCAAAAGGGGAAATTATATTTTGTAGCTTTTCTTACTCCTTTCACTTAGAAGAGGGAAATTCATTATCTTCCTCTAATTACTCAAAACATATTTTGCATGGTTATGAAAAAGGTAGGAGACTTGTCTTAGAAAGGCAGATGTCCTCCATAGAAGCAGTTGGCAACCCAAGTTCCTAAACCAAACCCACAGCTACGTGACGGAGCTGACTAAGCTCATCAAGGCAAAGGCGTCACCCATCAAAGAGGTAGCAGATTCTGCAGAATTTGTTGGCTTCTTCCCAACATTCATCTGGACCTTGAGGGATTTTACATTGGAACTGGAGCTGGAAGGAGATCCCATCACTGCGGATGAGTATCTGGATAGATATGTCTTGGAATTAAAGGAAGGTACAAAGAACAATCTCAATAGAAAGTACTGTTTTGTTGACCTTGCCTGGGCTGGGAAACTAAGCTAGTGAGGCGTAATTACAGCTAGGATGGGAGATCTTGAGGAGCTGTAAGCTAGACTGAGAAATTAAAACAAAAATCCCAGAAGGCAGTAATGACAATTAACTTGTATTGTTGCAAGAAAACTATAGAGAAGTCACCTGGAGTCAACTCAACTCAATTTACAGTTGCTCAGGATGTGGCCATAATTTGTTTCTTCTGAGAAAGATCTAGTTTGCTACTGTAATCTAGTGGTGAAAAATAGACATCAAGAAAGCTGTATTCATGCTGAAATGAGGCATGTGACATGTTTTCACCAGCCACCTAGCAGTCACTTCTCAAACTGTCCATTTGGCAAACCTAGTTGTTAATCTGGTACATGGATTCTGACATGCAATGCTAGAAGATAAATTCTATAAGCAGTATTCATGCTTCTTCCTACTAACAACTGAAATATTCCCCTCCCAATGAATCTTTTCATCTTGCCAATGATACAGTTCCATGTTCATCTGTCATCAACCCATCTTCATCTTAATTTTGTCTAGGTGACACCAAAGAAATCCGGAAATACAACTTGCCGCGTGAATGCACACGGATGTTCTTCCCCACCCGGAAATGCTTTATCTTTGACCGTCCTACTGAAGCAAATAAACTGAAGAACTTAGAGAAGATGCAGGAGAAAGAGCTGGATCCTGACTTTGTGAAACAAGCTGATCAGTTTTGCCATTATGTCTATGAGGAATCTAAGACAAAGACCATCCCAGGTGGCCATGTCCTCACTGGATGCTGTGAGTCTTTGTAGTTCCTTAGATCATCTTTGATCATAGTCCTTTTTCCAATACAGATAGAATTAAGTATATGGCCCAATGTAGATGGCCATAGTATATAGTATATATATTGTATATACAGCATATGGCCTAAAGCCACCATGTGAGATCCATTGTCAGGTCAGGATTTGAATCTTTGCCTCTCTAGTCATGGCCCAACACTTTAATACCGATACCAGCTAACAGACTAGAATAGTGGTCTTCATAGTTTCTAGATATAGTATCTGCAATCTTTTAATCTGAACCTCCAGCATGAGACCCACAATGCATATCTAAATAGATCTAGTATATACTTAGTATATTGTATGTGTGTGTAAATATATCATTTATCTAAATTTATCTTCCTATCTATATTTAAATCTAATTTATTTCTAATGTATATTTACTAGATTTAGCTAATCTCTCTCCGTCTTTCATTTTGCTTCTTTCTTCCCTTCTTTCTTACAGTACTTGCCTTTGTTCCTTCTTCTCTTTCTCCAAGTAAAGGTCCAAATGCTGCTAGTGTGCCTTAGTTTAGGGCAGATCATAACCTATGTAGAACTTAAACCAGCCAGTGGAACATCAGTAGAACTAGGTACAATCATCAGTTCTCCAGGTTCCAACAGACATTTTGGCTGACCCTATCTTTCCTTGGGAGAACTTTCAGGCTTGGTTAAAAAACATGACTGAGTATAGACAGCTGCATATCCTTTAAGTAAGTCTTGTGCAGGTAAATCTATTCCCATAATCTGCATTGTTTTTCATTACTCAGCACTGAAAGAACTGGTGAAGATTTTTGTGGACACCATCTGCAATGGTAACATTCCCTGCATGGAGAATGCAGTACTGCAATTGGCCGAGACAGAGAACACAGCAGCCTTGCGTGAAGCTAATGCTCGCTATGATGAATTGATGGAGCAAAGGCTGAATCTGCCTACTGAGACTCTCGAGGAGCTCCTGGACATACATAATGAGTGTGAAGAGGAAGCCCTCCAGATATTCATGGATCGTTCCTTCAAAGATGATACATGTCATTTCCAGATTGAGCTTATGGTAGGTGATGTCTTAATCTGTTAATATTAAGAGTCCATGTATTCCTGTCCTTTGTCGTGGTATCTGCACAATCCCATATATGGATACCACATCTGATTATGGAGAGCTACCCCAGCCATTCCTCATAGATCCTCATAAAGTCTCCCACCAGCATAGGAAACTAAGGTGTTTTTTTTTTTTGCTTGTTTAATTGATTTATATGTATAGCCATTCACTTGATAAGTGACTCAGGTTGGTATACATCAAAAAACAAGCAATAGCCAGAACAGATTAAAATAAAAAGCATAATAAGACACACTGTGCAGAAGCAGTTTCACAACATCAAAACAATCAAGACAGGCACAGGGCCTGGGGGAAAATCAGATGTTCAAAGCCAGGTAGAGTGGGGGCCATCCAGAACTTGGAGGGAACGCTGTTTCACAAGGCAGGCACAGTGACAAAGAAGACTCATCTCCTGGATCCTATCAGATTACACAGGACACAGAGAATGTCCACCATGTTCGCTCTTATCAGGCAGGTCTAGGTAAATGGAAACAGGTGGTTCCACAAATAACTGGGCCCTGTACAATGAAAAGTTTTATAGGTAACAGCCAGCATTTTGAATTGCATCTGGAGGCCCACTGGCAACCAGTGAAACTGGCAAAATAATATTATTACATGAGTGTATCCAGGTGCATTCATACCGACTTGCATCCAGCTTTCTGGACTAGCTGTAGCTTCCAAGTGGTCTTCAGGGACAGCCCCATGGAGCTTGCATTGCAATAATCCAGATACAGGGTTCAGATAAAAGGTGACTACAGCATGGTTGACCATGAGTAGCACATTTTGATCTAGGAATGAGCGTAATTGGCATACAAGATAGATTTGTGTGTAGGCTGTCTGAATCATGGCTGGCACTTGCTCTTCATGAAGGAGCTATGAGTCTAAGGGGATCTCCAAATTGCATACCGAGTCTGTCTGAGGTAGTGCAACCCCATTGTCACCCCACTAGATAGTCCAGACCAAGAAATCAACTCCACAGGAAGGCTGAAACTACTTTTATTGATTGGCTCTAATAACAGAATCTAGCAGGTCTGATGGTGCTGTACCTCCTCCCCCTTCTTATATTTCGGTGAATTAGGGAGTTGTCTGAACTGCTTCTGAATATTATCTGTCTGTTGTGGACTTAAAATGTCATTGCCCTGATATATCTTGCATATCTCTGTCCGGGTCATCTTCCTTGCTTTCTACATCCATCCAGAACCAAAGGTGGAAACTCTCTGGATCCAGGTGACCCCAAAATCCAGAACCACTTAGTCTTGCTAGAGATGAGTTTGAGCTTGGTCCTCCCCATCCAGAACCCCACAGCTCCAGATCCTGAGAGAGAGCTTAAACAGTATAACTCAGCCAGCAAAGGGTTGAGATGTACAACTGGGTATCATCACATACTGATGATATTTAACCCTATGTTGATGGATGATTTCACCTGGTGGCTTCATGTGGATGTTAAACAATGGCAGGGAGGGAATCAAGCCCAGAGGCATCTGCAAAGCAAGGTCCAAGGTCTACAGCATACCTCTTTTCCTCCCACCCTATCAATACCAACTGGAACTGGCCTTGGAGAAAGGAGGAAAACATCACAATAACAGGTCCAAAGGTTCCCATATATTAAGCTGTATATTCAGAATTGTGCAAATAGAACAAAGGCAGGATTTAAACCAAAAGCTGCTTGAATATTGCTAGCAACACACATGACTTTCTCACCATTCTGCTTTAAATTTCTCCCTCTAGAAAACCATGAATGAGAAGAAAGAGAATTATTGTCAGAAGAATGAGCTGGCATCCTCAAAACGTTGCTCGGATATCTTGAAACTTCTGGTTCAAAATTTAAGGGACAAGATCAAAAGTGGAAATTACATCAGATCTGGGGGCTACCAGCTTTTCAGGATGGACTGGAAGACAATTAAAACAAAATATTACAATGAGCCAAGGAAAGGCATAATGGTGAGGAAGAGTCAGGATCACCAAATAAGGACTCTAAAATGGACATAGTGGGACTGTAGAGTAAGAACAGTACCAGCATTGAAATACCTGTTAACCTAACCTCATTCTTCAGGGCCTTCATTGACTGCACACCCTGGAAGGCAGCATCTGATTGGTTTACCTCCCCAATACTTCTAGTTTGGCAGTGCTTTTATGCAAAATAATATACTCGGTAGCTGCTGTAGTTGTAGAGCATTTTTATAGCATATGCTGGCTGCTGGAAGGAAGATGTGAAGAAATGGATAAGGTGGTGTTGCTATTTGCCCTTTCTACATTATGACTTAAAGCACCTTCATAACATTTTCTGGCCATTGTTGAAGCGATATACATCCTGTTTGTATTGCATTATTTTGGCACAACAATGGCTAGATGATTCTAGAATAACATTTCTCAACCTTGGCAACTTTAAGATGTGTGGACTTTAGTTCCTAGAACTGCTGGTTGGGGAATTGTAGGAACTGAAGTCCACCCATGTTAAAGTTGTCAAGGCTGAGAAACACTGTTCTAGAAGGTGCTGCAGATTACTAATGTGGAAATTATACAAAAGGTGAATGGCAGCCAAGAAGAGGCGCAATAGATCAACAAGAGATCCTTGAGAAGGCAACGTGCTTGAGATCTGCTCAACTTGTAGGCACCTCTGAATAGGAAAGGGAATTTGGCTGAGGAACTGGGCATTCTTCAACATTAGCCTCTCTGCTGACTTTTACTTCTTCTTTGTCCAGGCTAAGGAGGTCTTGAGTAAATTCCTCAAGGACATGGATGTGATGGGCGAAGCCATACTTAAAAGTGATAAACAACTTACAGAGTTAGACAAGGAAATGGCAGGTAAGAGCATATGGGGAGAGGGAATGTTGGCACTGCTGGACTGAAGTGCTTGCTTCTGGATGGAGAAGGCCTGTGCTACTCTTGGGACAGACACACTATATAAATTAGTTCCCGTTAGGAGAACTGTAAGGAACCATATGATAAGCAGGACCTGCAATGTCACACAGAACAGGATCCTTTATTTCGCTCTTGATTTTGCCGTGCCACAAAGATCGCTAGTCCAAAATCTCGCTAAGAGAAAACGGAATGGAAGTCCTTGACTGATTTCCATGCGTTCACGTATTATGCTAAGCCACAGTTTGCTTTAACTGTGGTTTTTACACAAGCCAGTATTCATCTTGCAGAGGAGCATGTCAATAGTTGACTTGTTTGGCCAATTCCTAACTTGTTTCTCCAATTCCTAACTTGTTTCTCCAGTTTGCTTCAACAGCTCTTCCCTTGTGCCTCTAAGGGATTTGAGTAATTTCCATACCATACCCCATGTTAAAAAAAAGGCAGGGGGCACAAAACAAACAAACCAGCCTGATGTTTGTCTGCAGGGTATAGTAAAAAAAAAGTCAAGATGGTGGCTGTGATGATGCAATGGACACTCCACCTGTTTTTTATGTGTGATGATGATGATTGTTGTTGTTGTTATTTATTTATTTATATTTCAAATTTAGATACTGCCCATCTCACAAAAAGCGATTATTAGTATTATTGTTAAATTTATTGTTGTTGTTAATAATAATAATTAAATGTATATGCCACCCAACTCCCAACAACTCTGGGCAGTTCACAAGTAAAAAATTAAAAACAAGAAAAGAAACACAATAATAGCCCAAAATGAAGAACAGAAGATGGAAAGGATGACAAGAAACTGGACAGGAACAAAAAAGAAACGAGCCCACACAATCCAAAGGGGCTTCACTCACCCTTGGCAATTGCCTGGGTGAAGAGCCAGGTCTTTAAGGCCATTCAAAGCACCAGCAGGAGTGGCCTGTCTGGATCTCAGGGGGAACCTCATTCCAAATATAAGTGTTTACATCTGGAACACACATAAAAAACAGGCAGAACTTCAATCACTATGTCATGGCTGCCATCTTGACTTTTTGACATACCTTAAGGACACCCCTGAGGCTGAATAGCCAAGACCCTATAAAGATATTCCCCAGTTTAAATATCTTGCTAAGTCAAAGTTGTGCAGGTAGTCCTCACTTAATGACCACAATAGGAAAATTGGTCATTAAGCGGGGTGGTTGTTAAGCGAATTGGACCCAATTTTACGACTTTTTTGCAGCGGTCATTAAGCAAATCACCATGGTCATTAAGTGAATCACATGGTCATTAAGTGAATCCAGTTTCTCCCATTGACTTTGCTTGCTGAAAGCCCCCTGGGAAGGTTGCAAATGGCAATCATGTGACCCCGGGATGCTGCAACTGTCATAAGTGTGAGCTGGTTGCCAAGTGCCCGGATTGTGATCACAGGACCACAGCGGTGCTGGGACAGTCATAACTTTGGGCACTGGTCATAAGTCACTTTTTTTAGCATTGTAATTTTAAATGATTACTAAATGAATTGTTGTTAAGTGAGGACTACCTGTATACAATAAGGAACTACGGTTCTAAAGTTTGGTTTGCTGTCTTTAAATGAACCATGGTCATTTACTGACCCCTTTCACACCTGACTGTAAGCCAGAAAAAAACAAACCACCTTGACTTGTGAAGTCTGCGGAATTATTCTGAAGTGAGGGGGTTTTAGGGACACGAGAGAACACAGATATTAGTTCTTAGGCAATATGTTGTCCCTGTCTTCACTTTGCCACATTTGCTCATGGTAAGACAAAGAAAACCAGCTGGCCTATAGCCTTCACAGATGACAGGAGAATCACAGAGCTGGAGATTGGTGAGAGGGTCTACGAAAGGGTAAGTAGCCTGTAGCACAAGTTGCAAAACAGAAGCTTTGTGGGTTGACTTTGGGGGAAACTGAGAGAAAAAAATTGGTTTGCCTGCATCATTGTAAAGGCTAGCATGGGAACCCCGCAGTGCAACACTGGTGGGGAAGCATTTTCAAAGACCTGGGTGGGGGCATGGTCTAAAGCAGCTTCCTGTCCTCCTAAGCACCATTGGGATACAGTTGCACTGCATAGCTCATGCAGTCCTGTTTTTCTCCACTGGGACAGATGTAAAAAGAAAGGAAAAGGCAGCAAAACAAGAGCTGAAGGCCAAGGAGAACCAGGAGACCAGGCAAGAACAGAAGGAGAAGAAAAATGAAAAGAGTTTTTGTGCACATATTCGACACCTAATGAAAAAGATGAAGGGAGAAAATACAAGTACGCTGGAAGAGCTAAACAGGATAATCGATGCAAAATCCAAGGTATTTGCAACAAACCAAACCAAAACAGCTTGGGTTGGGTTGCCCAGGAATCATTTTTCTAAAATATAGATAAGAAATAGAACACGCTCAGATAACCTAGCTGCAGAGCTCCCAAGAGATTTATATTTCCTGCCTATGCTCTATATCTAGCTGGTTCCTTTCAGCTGAGCTGGGAAGCTTCCAGATGAGGGGTTCGTCAACATGTGGTGACTCAGTTTTTGAATGCTGAGTGGTGGATATTTATGTTAACTTCTCTGACACCACCCCCAGGGGCAGCAGCCAATCACAGCTGGAGACAAGGCTGGCCATATCCAACAACTAGCACTTGTAGATTGTTGGTACAAGTCCCATTTAGCTCATGGCTTTCCACGACAAGAGCAAATCACCATACCAATAACATGGCTGAATCTCTTGTGATGTCCCACAAGCCAAATCCAGGTTGCTAAGAAGAATGTAAGTGCCAAAACCTCCAGTGGAGCTTTCTGTGAAATGTTACTGGTTCAGTGCAAGACTGAGACCATGGTATAAAAGGGACCGGTTTGCTGGTCCACAATATAAAAAAGATGGGAAAAACTTTCCTGTTCTCTGTTGTCCCAGTGTAGAGGACATGATGGAATAATCTTAAATTCAAAGAAGGCAGACTATTGTTGAATATTAGGAAAAAATTCCTAAAAGTAAAAGCAGTTCAACAGTGGAACCAATTACTTATGGAGGTGGTGGGTTCCCCTTTGCTAACGGGTCTAAGGCAGTGTTGTCCAAACTTGGCCACTTTAAGATGAGTGGACTTCAACTCCCAG